TGGCTTCCATAGTCATGTTTGGAGACTCAATTTTAATTTGTAAGAGTGGTTACCCAATCATGCATGAGTCCTGTGTGTGTGTGTGTGTGTGTGTGTGTGTGTGTGTGTGTGTGTGTGTGTGTGTGTGTGTGTGTGTGTGTGTGTGTGTGTGTGTGTGTGTAAACGTGTGTGTGTGTGTGTGTGTGCGTGTGCATCTGTGTTTGAGTAATCATATGCATTTATTCAAGTTAATATTCACATTAATCACGCCGCGCTGACTTCTACCTCACTTCCTGTTCAGACAGGAAACAGGTTGGTGAGCTGTGATGTCACTGGACCAAAACGTTTGTTTTTTGGGTTAAAAAATGTCTGCTAAAATGGTCTGGTTTCTGAATTATTTGAATATTACTAAATAGAAATGAGGAGCTTGTCATTTTTGGAAAGGAATCTGGTTGGGGGATAATTTGGTTTTGAATGTTGTTACAACTACTGTGAGATTAGCACTAGCATTAAGTCTGGTCGCTACGACAATAACGCAGAATTAGCGTTAGCACTCTTCATGGTGGCCCCGGAGACGCCAATGGAGCCATTTTGTTTGCAGTCTGTTTAGACAGACAATCAACAGCCAATCAGAGAGAGAGAGAGAGAGAGAGAGAGAGAGAGAGAGAGAGGGGTCATTAATGAGACGAATAGCCTAATTACTGCTGTAAACACTCCCTATGGACTATAAGTGAGCGAGAAGGGTGGGGGGTCAAAAAGAGAGAGAGAGAGAGAGAGAGAGAGAGAGAGAGAGAGAGAGAGACATGGACGGAGAGAGGGGGAGAGCGAGATGGAGATTCACAGAGTGAAAGTTAAAGACAGGGAGAGAGGGAGAGAGGGAGGATACAGTTGGAGATAAATGGAAATGGAAAGGGAGAGAGAGAGAGAGAGAGTCAACTTCAAGGACTGTGCCCCAGGCAGTCCCATTTTTTGGAAGTGGACAAGGTGTGTGTGTGTGTGTGTGTGTGTGTGTGTGTGTGTGTGTGTGTGTGTGTGTGTGTGTGTGTGTGTGTGTGTGTGTGTGTGTGTGTGTGTGTGTGTGTGTGTGTGTGCAGGTGCATGCACGCATGTGTGCATCGGTATGCCTGCAAATGTGTTTGTGTGTACAAGTGAAATTGTGTGATTTGTGTTTGTGTATAGTTTTTGTGTTTGAGTATGTTTCTAAATTAAGCAAGTTTGTGTGTGTCTCTTTTCTCTAACTCTCCCCTATACCTACATAATAACCATACTGATCGTAATATGTTAGTAACTGACTAATGACTTACTAACAGCCAATAACCAAGTCAAAACTAGCTAATAACGAACTAACAAATAGCTAAAAACTAACTAATAACTAGCTAAAAACTAGTGAATAACAAACTAATAACTAACTAATAACTAGCTATTATACCATGGCCCGGGTGAATACTTGATTCTGATTGGCTGGAGAGGTGTGCATTATTTTTCGATAACATGCATGGCTATGATGTTATTGTATCATGAGCAGCCTTATCACCAGTCTAAAAATGAATGTGCTAAACGAAACTGTAATAACTGTCAACTTGGACCCGACTCGGACAAGACTATGTTTAGAAAGCTTCCCCGTTACAATGTCATTACTAAGATCGTCTCTATTTACCGGCGTAATAAGGTAACGTTGCCATGTTGTTACTAAGATCGTCTCTATTTACTGGAGTAATAAGGTAACGTTGCCATGTCGTTACTAAGATCGTCTCTATTTACTGGAGTAATAAGGTAACGTTGCCATGTCGTTACTAAGATCGTCTCTATTTACTGGAGTAATAATGTAACGTTGCCATGTCGTTACTAAGATCGTCTCTATTTACTGGAGTAATAAGGTAACGTTGCCATGTCGTTACTAAGATCGTCTCTATTTACTGGAGTAATAAGGTAACGTTGCCATGTCATTACTAAGATCGTCTCTATTTACTGGAGTAATAAGGTAACGTTGCCATGTTGTTACTGAGGTTGTCTCTATTTACTGGAGTAATAAGGTAACGTTGCCATGTCGTTACTAAGATCGTCTCTATTTACCGGCGTAATAAGGTAACGTTGCCATGTTGTTACTAAGATCGTCTCTATTTACTGGAGTAATAAGGTAACGTTGCCATGTCGTTACTAAGATTGTCTCTATTTACTGGAGTAATAAGGTAACGTTGCCATGTCGTTACTAAGATCGTCTCTATTTACTGGAGTAATAAGGTAACGTTGCCATGTCGTTACTAAGATCGTCTCTATTTACTGGAGTAATAAGGTAACGTTGCCATGTCGTTACTAAGATCGTCTCTATTTACTGGAGTAATAAGGTAACGTTGCCATGTCGTTACTAAGATCGTCTCTATTTACTGGAGTAATAAGGTAACGTTGCCATGTCGTTACTAAGGTCGTCTCTATTTACTGGAGTAATAAGGTAACGTTGCCATGTCGTTACTAAGATCGTCTCTATGTACTGGAGTAATAAAGTAATGTCCGCATTCCATATGAATCTGATGTTAACTGATATTAGGCATTAGTCAGACCCATTTATTTCTCCGGTCATTTCCATGAACACAAAAAGTAGTGCGAGCTAAAAGTTGTAATTTTGAGACAGAATTACCCCAAAATATGAATCGACACCCTTATATTTTATTGATTCGTAAGTCGCCATGGTATAATCCACTCTGAGGTGTGTATGTATCGAAAAATAATGCACTTCGCGGGGGCTAAGGGGTTTGCCTCCACCTCGTCGTGGATTATCCCTTACATAGCTAGCTAAAAACTAGCTTATAACCAACTAATAACTAACTAATAACTAGCAAATGGTAGCACATTGCATCCCTCCCTCTCACTGCAGGTGTGTTTTGTGTGTGTGTGTATTTTCTGTGTGTTTGCGTGTTTTCTGTGTTTGTGTGTGTGTTCATTTTGTGTGTGTGTTCAAGCTAATTTAATTCCGGATGGTTTTCTTCAGAAGGCACTCCTATCTCCTCTCTCTCTCTCTCTCTCTCTCTCTCTCTCTCTCTCTCTCTCTCTCTCTCTCTCTCACACTCTCCCCCTTATTCTCTCTTTCTCTCTCTCTTGTAATTGGTCGTTCGATCGGGGGGAATATTTCAAACCCCTCGCATGCCATTGCTGTTGACGTGGTATGAAATTCTGACATTTTCTCCAAAGTGGGGTCCGTTGCGGCTTACCAACCTCTCCCCCCTCCTCCCCTCTCCCCCCTCTCCCTCTCTTATATTGTTTTCATTGATTCTGTCATTGTAACCTTGTAACTGTGCCTGACTTCATAATTGGGTTCTAGCATTTGATACAATAAGCCCTCGATCGTTGGGGGGGGGGGGGGGGGAACCCAGTCACCGAAAGGAGGGCGGGAGGGAGGGATGGAAGGAGGGAGAAGGAGGGGGGAGGTCCTCTCCCAGTAGAGATATAGACCAACACACTGTCAATCAGTTCACAGATACGAGGACAGTCGATGAATGTATGTTTTTCATGTGTTGTGTTGGAAGGAGGTCTATCATGGTGGGTTTTGTTTGTGTTTTTTTGAGACCAAGGCATTGAAAGCTAAGAGGCTGGTGAGATGGTAGAACATCTGATGAATGACTGGAAGAGGGTATGTTGTGTTGGTCAGGAGTTGGGTTGAGGTGTATTTTATGTAATGGTATGTCATGGTTGTGTTGTATGTGGAGGTTGTGGTTCGGGTACATGAACATGATTGTGTAGGTTGAGTTTTGGGCTGAACTAATTGATTATTTTCATAGTCAATTAATCTAATGATATTTTTTTTGATTGATTAATCATTTTGTCTAGAAAATGTCATAAATAATAGCAAATGCCATCACAAGTGACCAGAGTCCAAAGTGATGTCTTAAAGTTGCTATGAACCAAACATTTGAATTTCTGAAGCATCAAGCAGCCAATGTTTGGTGTATAATCGTTGGCCTCTGCTCTTGGAGCCATCGAGGAGGAGGCTGGGAGGTGAGGGGAGGCTGGGGAGGAGGCTGGGAAGGCTGGAGAGGTGAGAGGAGGCTAGGAAGGACGCTGAAGAGGTGAGAGAGGCTGGGGATGTGAGAGAAGGCTGGGGAGGTGAGAGGAGGCTGGGGAGGTGAGAGGAGGCTGGGGAGGTGGTGTCAGAACAGATGGCTTGTCAAGATCACCAGGTCTCCAGGCAATCCTCCATCGACCAGCAACACTCTGGTCTGAAGAGGCTGACAAACAGACAGACAGACAGGGAGGGAGGACGACAGAGAGACAGACAGGCTGGTAGAGGTAGGGCAGGGTTCAGGTGTGATAGAGATCTGAGCCTCACAGATGTGAGCCTTCCCCCACACACACACACACATACACCTCACAAGGCCGCATGTCGTCTGCTCCGGGTCAAAGTGAAGCTTGTATTTGTGTGTGTGTGTGTGTAGATGTGTGAGATTTCTTTACAGGTTTGTGAATGCCTTCCTTTCAAAGGCGTGAGTGTGTGTGTCTGTGATTGTGTGTGTAGGAGGGGAGGGCCCATTGCGGTGAAGGAGTTTAAAAACGAAGCAGACCAATTCCCCCTTGAGTCACCTCATCGCGTGTTGCGCTAACCTCTCGTGCGCCGCGGGCTCACCGCGTTGCGCTAGCCACCCCACACCTCTTTCTGTTCGTGGCGTCGTCGAACAAAACCCCATCACCCCCCTCCAAATCCCCATTCCACTCCCACTCTAGCGAACCTAATGGAACCAGCCACAGCTGGGTTGCCGGGGGGAGGACTCCCTCTGTGGTCCCATTGCCGGCACTCCGCCGAGTAGCGCGTGTCAAGCATCATCGTAGCCCGGGACTCCATCGAAGCCCGGCCATCCGTAGCGAGACACGTCCTCGCCACCGCCACCAGAATACACCCGGGAGGTCCAGTCCTGAGTGAAGCCTTGAGCAAATGTTGGTGGGATCGCGGATTTAACGATTCATCTATTTAACGTGTCATTCAGGAGCAGGTAGGGGTCAGGGGTCAAAGTTGCTCAAGGAGGCCTTCAGGTTGGGCTGCGGACGTCGGGGGATTGAACCCAGAACCTTTTGCCTAGGAGTCAAATGCTCTGCTGCGCTTTCCTGCCCCGAATGCTAATGCTAAAGTACATGCACTACCGTAAATGCTAATCCAGTACCGGACATGCTAATGCTAATGTACATGCTAATGAACTACCTGACATGCTAATGAACTACAGTACATGCTATTGCTAACGTACATGCTAATGCAAACGTACATGCTAATGCTAACATACAGAACTGCACTGTCCTGTGCCAGTCCGTCTTTCTTGCCGGCATTCCAGATTACAAGAGTTAATATCTAATATTATATTTAGTCGTTCATCAGACACGCACATCCAAAGCTACTTCCAGTGAATACAGGGACATGTGATGAAGGAGCAGGTAGGGGTTAGACAGTACAGAGACAGGTCATTAAGGAGAAAGTAGGGGTTAGACAGTACAGAGAAAGGTCACTAAGGAGCAGGTAGGGGTTAGACCAGGGGTCGGCAACCCAAAATGTTGAAAGAGCCATATTGGACCAAAAAAACAAAAAACAAATATGTCTGGAGCCGCAAAAAAATAAAAGCCTTATAGAAGCCTTATATTCAGGGGTGCACATAACTTTTTTAGTGAGTTACTCATTTGAGTACCAGGAGATGGTGTTCGGTACGCACTCCACACGTAGCGTCGTTTCGATAATGATAAAGGCGATTCCACCGCGGGTGGAGTTGTTGACGGGGGGGGGGGGGGGGGGGGGGGGGGGGGGGGGGGGGGGGGGGGGGTGGCGGGGCGGGGCGGCGGCGGGGGGGCTTGGGGGGTGGCGGCGGGGGTCCAGTCCGTCACTGCCACGGAGCGAGTAACGGATGTCTCACAGTACGGACGTTGCGATCAGCTGATTTTGCGCAGTTCTCCAGTGTGCGCGCGGTGCACAGAGCACACAGCGCTGCGGCTCCGTTTGCCTTTTTTTGCAGGTGGGGAAACGCAGAAGTAGTACAAGATACACGTGTAGTTTTATTTTGATGACCTGATGGTGAGTTACGCAAAAGCGCTGTAGTGGCACAAGTGACGTTACGCATCGCTGATTATGGGCGCGCATGCGTACTTGCGTACCAGTTATGTGCACCCCTGCTTATATTGAAGGCAACACATGCTGTAGGCCTATGTATCTATAGTAGCTATATTAGCCTACTATAGAAATGACTAAGTTAACTACAAATACATAATGAGCCTTCATGATTAAATGTTTATTTTTCCTGCAGTGCATCCTGTAGCAGTGGTTCTCAACCGGTGGGGCGGGGCGCGGGTTCAAAAAGGAGGCGCGTATTTGCGCCGGACTGTCCGGTTTTTCAGCCCTGTCCGGCGTCCGGCGCAGCATCAAGCCGGGCGCGTATTTGTCCTCCTTTTTGAGAGCGCAATAGTAACACACCGCGCCCCCCCCCCCCGTCGGCCGTAGGTCCGCGGTGTGTTACTATTGCGCGCACCACCACCCCCCGCCGTCGGCCGGAGTGTTACAATCGCGCGCGCCCCCCCTCCGTCGGCCGTAGGTCCGCGGTGTGTTACTATTGCGCGAACCCACCCGTCGGCCGTAGGTCCGCGGTGTGTCACTATTGCCCGGTCCAAGAAACGTTGAATCCTCTGTTCTCCTCAGTTATTTTTCTCTTTTTCCCTTTGGGATCCATGGCCCATCACACAGCCGCCGGTTTGTTTACAACAGCCACCTGCCTGGCATCCCGCCTGTCGCAGGCTATGACGTAAATCTTCGTTGACAGAAATGTTGAAATTTAATATTTATTCTACACATTTTTACAGCATTGAAAAACGTTAATAATGTTTGTGTCATGTTTGTTTTCCTACAGAAACCATATTAAAACAAAAAATATATTTCTCTCCCCCATCTTTTTCCATTTTCAAACATTTTTGAAAAAGCTTCAGGGAGCCACTAGGGCTGCGCTAAAGAGCCGCATGCGGCTCCGGAGCCGCGGGTTGCCGACCCCTGGGTTAGACAGTACAGACAGGTCATTAAGGAGCAGGTAGGGGTTAGACAGTACAGAGACAGGTCATTAAGGAGCAGGTAGGGGTCAGGGGTCATTTTGCTCGATAGGACGCTACAGGTTAGGCAGCGGACGCCAGGGATCAAACCCAGTGAACAACAGTTGTATAAAGTTTGGCGAGGTCGGGCTGCTACACCGCTAATACAGCAAGACACGCAGCCAGAGGGACAGAGGATCTGCTGCCCAAAACTGTCAGATGAGCTGGAAGCGGTTCAGACGCGGACCCCTCCCCGTTTTCCTGCGATCATGGACACGTTAGACGCCCAGCAAACAGGTGTCTTGATTTGCTGGGAGCCAGAGGGAAACGATCTACCGCTCTCTCCCTCAACGACTTCAATCAAACGGTCCTCTTGGCAAACCTCTACGTCTCCGACCCGCAGCTTTAAGTGTGTGTGCCGGTGCATGTGCGTGCGTGTGTGGAGAACATCTCGGTCCCTTGAAAAGCCTTCTGCCTGGTCTCTCATTACAAATTCCCCCAGAAGAACTCTGTAAGCTGTTCACCCCATCACTAACTCTCTCTCTCTCTCTGTACCTCTCTCTCTCTCTCTCGCGCGCTCTCTCTCTCTCCCTCGTATCCACAGTCTTTGATTCGCAGCGGGAACCTGTGTGGAATAGCGAGCGGAGAGACGTTAGATATTACCAGAGCTCACATCTCCGTCTTCAAGGAGTTTGCAAAATGTGTTCAAATGAAAGATGTATCGGGAAGAGATCCCCTGCAGTGGCATATTTAACATGCATGTTTTATTTTATTTTTTAAAAGAAAGCGTGATCTTCCAAAAACGACCAAGCCTAAAAGTTATTCGACATGTTCATCCGTGAAGTGGGTCGCGAAAACCAAAAATAAATTGCAGCACCGGCATAAAAATAAAGCCCAACATGGATTGAGCGGACACTGGGTAAACGTCAGGGTAATAGGGTGAAATCCTCTCTAAAATGATGGCATGAGAGGAGGTTACACTGCAGCGGAAAGACAGATTTTCCCACACACACATCCATCTGAACCACAACAGGCTCAACAGCGACACCCTCAGGTGGATCCCGGCATCCGCATTCATGTCCTTCTCTTCCCACGAATTGGTGGTTAAACGATGCATTAAAGCCAGGGGGTTGTTTTGTTGTGGAGATAATGAACACGGGGACGAATAAAAGTCCGATGTGTCTTTATTTGGAGTTTGACTTTTTTGTTTTGTTTCGCCTACTAACCCAGTTAAAAACCAAAACAAGCATTGCTTGGGGCATTTCAAATTCAAATACTAGCGCTGCTAGTTTAGCATCATGTGGGAGGAGGAGTGTTGCAGGTCCGCCTCTAAGATATGGAGATGAAGAGGTGAAGACATGTTGATGGTGCTCTGCACTTTGTTTGGGCGTCGCGTCAACAATTTTCAGCCTCTCGTCTGGCAATGTTCTCTGGGGACCAAATCCCCCTCATCTAGCGAAGGTCTTTCATACCCCACACGAAGAGGAGGATCTCTCTCTCTCTCTCTCTGCCTGTCAAAACGTAACAGCAGGCGATCCGAGACACGCGCTGACATCACAATTAAACCGAGGACGCAGCGGTAGCGCACGGTCATCCATCACACACACGCACACATGCTCCCACACACACACACACACACACACACATGCATACACATGCACCCACAGACACACACACACGCGCTCACACACACATGCTCTCACACACACACACACACACACACACACGTGCTCCCACACACTCTCATACACACACACACACACACATACACATAGAGACACGCACACATACACACCCACACACCCACACACACTTATACATGTAAACATGCATGCACACACGCACACACACAGACACAATGTGTCTGTGTGTGTGCCCTGCATGCTCAGATGATGTTTGTCTACAAAAGAGTTTGATGTCAGGCTGAGGCGCGTCGGCCTCCATTGATTCTCCGGCGCCACGCGGCCGGTTGCTGCGACGCGTCGGCCGATTACCTCAAGTGAACAATTAGCCGGCTGGTGGTCACAACACAACACTGGCGACCGCTTTAACGCAGGGCGCACGCCGAGGTGCTCCAAATAAACGATCCATTCGGAGGGGGAAATGTCAACTACCCCCCGCCTCCCCCCCCTACTCCCCGACACACATGGTAATGAATTGGAGAGCAACATTCCAGCAGCGTGGCACATAATCGGAGCGTTATTATTGGACAATGAATTGCTCGGTGGAGAAAGTCTCCGTGGAGATTTATTCGACGCCAGCGCGTTCTCCCGATGTTCGCAAAGAGACTCGGGGGAGAAGGGGGAAAAAATAAAATGGCAGCTGCAATTGGGGAGTTAGGACGTGCCGAGGGGGGGCGCTTTGGACCAAAGTAGTTTTGTTCATTCAATTGAACAATTAACGCTCTGAGAATTATCTGGAGTGTGTGTTGCGTGTGTGTGTCCGTGCGTGCGTGCGTGCCAAAGTGAAGTCAATCAACTGTAAGCTCTGAGAAACGTTGAAGCTATTCCCATCTTTGTTAGAATCCATCAGTAATTACGGCTTTTGTTTCCGCGGTGACCTTTGACCCGATCACTCGTACGAGAAATCCTGCAAAAGGAAGCCGAATCGTTGGGGAAATCTGCAGTGATTAAAACATCCATACAGAAACATGCTCAGAATGGTTATGTTTTAATAATTGTTGTTTTCATGGTAATTGAGTTTACAAAACTGTGCCACTCATAGCTTGTTCTGCACTGGTCTGCACTGGTCTACCTGCTTGTTGAGATGGTTAGTTTAGGTATTAGGTTAGAGATGGTTAGTTTAGGTATTAGGTTATAGATGGTTAGTTTAGGTATTAGGTTAGAGATGGTTAGTTTTTTGGGTTATGGTTAGGTTAGGAGGTTGTATTTCTTCCTCCCTCTAGGCTTCCTCTAGCCTGGCTCCGCCCACCTACGTACTTCCGCTCAATTTTCATTTCACTTCAGTACTAAGGTCTGGGAGTGCTGTATGTTAGAATGATTTCTTTTCCCTCAAATGTGCCTTCCAATCAGCGAACAGGAGGCGCGGCCTGAGAACAG